CTAGATCTCCTGTTAGAGTCTATTTAAAAGGGTACGACGGAAGAAAAGAATAAATGTGAGATGAAATGACTTCGTTTTAACAAGATTACCAGTGAAAGAGAAAAATAGATTCTATGAGATACACCAGTAAGGACCAGTGAGAAAAAAATGAACAATATTTGTAGGAGTTTCGGTTCAGAAAAGAGAGAAGCTATGAAAATAGAACAGTGGGAGATAAAGAAATAGTTTTGATTAAAAAAACCTGGCCAGATGGTAGGATTGAGAGAATAACTAGAATTGTATTTGTGTCACACTGTGATACATACTACTACTTGATAATACTGGAGGCTGTTCAGTATTATTGAATTACTGTTATAAATATAAATTACTGTGTTAAAATTTGAGTCAGATTTTTTAAAATTTTTTAATTAATAAAAATATTTTACAAAAAAAAAATAGTCAGATTAATTCAGGGTTCCTGCTTTGCAAGAGAAGCATGTTTTGAAAAGGGTGTTCTTGCTGTGTATGAGTGTAAAGGTGTATGAGGTAGTGTGTAAAGATGGCAATAAACTCTAAAATTATGTTTTTTTAAAAAAATATTTAATTGAAACAAATATACAAAGCAGTCAGTGGGGACGTAGAAAACAATCACAAATTTCCAGTTAAAAAGATGCTTCATTTTCTCCATCACTATATGTAGATGAATCTATAAAGGAAACTATAAAATTGAAAATGGGGAATAAAGCAGTGACTGAAGGCCCTAAAATTGTGGACCAGGCTATTTAGTTGAACAGGCTCTAATTATAAATGCTTAGATATGAGCTTTCAGGATGTAACTTTCAGTATATCTAGAGACAGGAGAGAGACTGTTATATTCCAGGTTGCACTTTGATGAATAGTGTTTAGTATCTTCTTTACATAGTATCAATTTACTTATCAGGAGTAAATCATGTTCAGTCCAAGTGGATATATGATATAATAAAATACTTTGATCCTTTAGCTATAAACTTGCGTTCAGAAGTACTGTTGCTTGACTGGAACCTAGAAGTCAAGTTCTTCTGAGATTTAGTTATGGTTTCCAGTCAGGCTGGCTTCTGTGTTTCTGGTTTCTCTGAATAATATTATCTGCTGCAGGGGTAGGCAACCTAAGGCCCGGGGGCCAGATACGCCCCCCCCCCGAGGCCTTTAGACCGGCCCCAGGCCGGTCCTGCCGCCGCCGCCCTACCCACCATGATGATATTGATTATTGTTGTTATTACTTGTTCTTGGGGGTTTCTTGGCAAAATCTCCAAAGGGGTTTTGCCATGGCTTTTCTGGGGCTGAGAGAGTGTGCATGCATATTTTTTAAATTTTAAAATTTTTTTTTAAAAAATTATTTATTTATTTATGGTGCTTTCCCCCCGCCCCCAATTGTCTGAGGGACAGCAACCTGGTCCCCGTCTCAAAAAGGTTGCCTACCCCTGATCTACAGCAATACAGAGTGAGAATGACATCTTGAGGTGTGATGGAACTGTCCAGCAAAAACAAGAGTGGACAACTACTGAGGTTCAGAGGATACACCTCCTGTTATGCCGCGTTTTTTGTAATTTTTAAATCTATTTGTTGACTTTGCCGTGAAAAAATCTCTTGTGCCCTCTGAGTGCAATGAGAGGCAGTTTTGTTACATTGTGGAGGTTCCCTGATTGTGTTAGGCCAAGGAGATTGTTTTTTATGACCAGGAGGTCACTTCTAGTTTAGGAAAAATCTCTTTCAACCTAAACTGGGTCATGCACCCTGTGATTAATGGCCTTTACAGACTGGCAGAAATAATGCAGCTTGAGGCCACTTTAACTATCCTGGCTAGTGCTAAAGAATCATGGGAACTGTAATTTATTGTGCTACCAGAGCACTCTGACAGAGAAGGCTCAGTGTCCCAGAAGAAAATACAATTCCCATGATTCCCTGGCACTGAGCCAGGACAATTAAAGTGGCCTCAAGCTGCATTATTTCTGCCAGTCTGTAAAGGCCCCATATCACTCTCTATGGTTTTTGTCTTGTAGAGGAGGCTTTTTCCGTAATATGAAATTAAAATGAATTATTTTCACAAATTTCGGGAAGAGGGAGGGGTCCCCCTGGGCTTCTGAAGACTCTTCCTACTCCTGAGTAAAACACTCCTGGAAGAACACTGAGCAGGTTGTTTAAAAAACACTCTTATGTTTTTTATGTTATGTTAGATTTTGATTATATAAACTTTGAAGAAATTCATTAAATTTTGGATAAGAGCTCATTAATTACCTTAGCTTGGATATATTCCCAGTCCTTATGTCCTTGATGCAGTAGGAACACTTTTTGTTTTCAAGGCATAGTTTGTATCCTTTGTTTCTCATAGAACTACTGATGTAAAAATATTAGTGAAGTCTTATGCTATCAGTTTCAAGTTTTTCCAGCTTTGTTCCTTTATGGGCTAGCTGGGAGTAAATATTTTCCATAACTGGCATTATGGATGAAGTCCAGAATCTCTTTATCTAGTCATAATGATAGGGTAACTTGGAGGTTTCTCATTCATAGGGTCATAAGTCAGAGCTGACTGGAAGGCAATAAACAGCAAAAATGCTGTTATTTTTGACTTAACTAAACTATGGTTATCTGGATTTTGTGTTTGATTCAAATAAATTTCATAACATTTGTCCATTAAGTATGACTGGTGCTGAGTGTCCAAAGTGTAGGCAGTGGGGCTTAGGCAATGCTATGCTTGGTTCCTCTTCAGATTGGAAAGTTTGGGTCAGCTGCAGATTTCTCTGTCTTCGGTGTTCTCCTTTCTTCCACAGTGGACAGTAGTGTTGCATGTCTGTTAAGAAGCCTGGGATATGTAGTACCCCCCCCTTGGGAACACCTTGGTTTAAAGGAATTGAAATCCCTACTTCTTTTTCATTTCTTTCATTAGCTCACACTTGTGCTGAACTTACAGAACCTTCTCAAATGGAGTCAGTATCTTTTAGTAGAAACTCGCCCTTCCTAAAATGTTTATGTCCATCCATTTTAGTTCCGTTCCTTTTTGTCCACCACTTATTAAGCAGCTCATGGAAGATTTTTCTGATGTAGTTTCAATCATTTATTTCTAAGTTTTCTCTTTCTATAACATTGCCTGAGTCCTGGTGGCGCAGTGGTTAAATGCCTGTACTGCAGCCACTCACTCATAGACCACAAGGTTGTGAGTTCAATATTAGCTAGCCAGGGCTCAGGCTGGACTCAGGCCTGTAGCCTTCCGAGGTCGCTAAAATGAGTACCCAACGGTTGGGGGGCAATGAGCTTATAGTTGTAAACCGCTTAAGACATCCCATAGTGCGATATGAAGCAGTATATAAATGAAGCTGCTTTGCTTTTGCTTTTTAAAAAATGATAAGTAGGCTTTGTGTGTGCATTTAAAAAAATAAGATGCAGAAAACCCAAAATACTTTGGTCACCATATCATCCTTATCAAGGGAACTAATTAGAATTTGAAATAGAATTGTCAATTGCTTCTTTGAAAATATTTTTAAAACCTTTTTTGTCATAGCTGAGACTTTCCTGCCCTCCCCATTAGGCTTTGAAATGTTCCCAAGCTACCATAAACCACTCTTCAATAAATGCTCCTCTTGTCTCAAGGACATCTCCCCAACAAACAGACATTTTCAGTGCCTTCTTTGCCTTGGAAGGAGGCATCGGTAGTGTTGCTTTGCCTTTACTTAACAGAGCGGTAAAAACTGAGCTGCTCAGGTTCATGCTTTGCTCTCAGTCTTTAATTCTTCTGATACCAATCATTCTGTCAATCCCTTTATTTATATTTTAGCTTTTCCCCAAGCATGGGACTCAAAGTACAAAAAGGTATAAGTAAAATCATATGCACCTAAAAACAGATAAAGATTAAAACAAAAACCTGTCACTTATAAAGATAACAAACTATAGCTTCCATGTTCCCTAGCATTTATTTCTGCCGTGTGTTTTGGACCTAATTTTTTTAAAAAATAATCCAGATTTAAATGCTGCTTTAAAAATTATTTC